ACCAAAAAAGCAACATTAAAAACTAATTCAGACTAATTATTTCCATTAATTTTAAATTGTTTGTTTTTTTACAATATGTATATTATGATTAGGTACATGCAAGAATGCATGTTTCTTTATTTCAATATTAGCAAAATATTTCTATTCATTGTTATATAGCACCAACTTGTATAATGGGAATTAACAGTTTAAAGGCATCTTGAATATAAGAACTTGCATTTCCAGCCTATTTAAAAAAAAGTGGGAATTAATTATTTGACATACATATAATCAATTAATATAATACTATTTCCTTACCTCCTTGAAAATTGTAGTTATATTAGTTTGAATACTATCAGGAGTGTCAGAAGTTTTAACAAGTACATCTAAACAGATACAGTAAGCATGGGCTAGTGTTTCAATTTCATTAGAAAGAATATTTGCTAATTGAACTAATGAATCAGCTTCATCAACAGTGCTTCGACGTGTTTTGATTAAAAGTAATTCAGCGGTTTTATGAAATCTTTCCACAGAAAAAGCTGTAAATTGGGCAAGAACAGAAACAGCATGTTCAAATATTTCTTGATCATTATGCATCATAGATGGTGTAGTATAAGCTTTGCAGTCTTCAGAAATCTAAAATCAACATTTAACTTTATATAATATATCTAACATACATTAGTATTTTCTACTAGGATACATATTAATAGTATTAAAATTACTTACATCATGCAATTTTTCAAATGTAAGATTAATTCCGAGGTCACTGCAAGCTTCTTGCAGCCTAGATTTCAAATCTTTTTCATTCATTTCATCCTCATTATCATCATCTTTATCCAACTCACATAGTTCTTCCACATCTTCTAACATCTTCTGAATAGAACATAATTCATTTGTATCTAAACCAATCAAATGCTGTTGTATTTTAATATTACTTTGTTTTGACAACATTTCTAGTGCTTCTAAATGAACAAGTCCTTGATAATCATCAAAAAGAGTTTCAAAATGTACTTTCCTCATTTTTTGCTTTTCTTCCATTGTTTTTTCAATAGCATCTGTTTTTTCTTTAGCTTCTCGAAGAATTTGAGATAAATTTGGCTTTTCTGGTTCATTAAAAAGAAATGCTCTTTTTTTCTTTAATCCAGGATCACCATCTTGTAAAACTTCCATTGTTTTTTTACCAATGGCTTCTAAAGTATCTAATCCACCACTCATAACTTTACTTCCAGTTGATTCAACTAGCTTTGTTATTGATGATACTCCTGATATAAGATTTCCAAATCCAAAAGAAGACTGTTCTTTGGGCTGCTCCTGTTTATCATCTGGAAATTAAATTAATTAAAAGAGAAATGTAACAATGAGCTATTGTTAAAAAATTCTCAAATATATTTTTCATAACATTCATGATTATAGATTAAACTTTTTAGTTTACCTTAAAAATACAGATATGTACTAGATGATTAATAATAATAAAAAGATGTACCTACAAAACATTGTAATACCTTTAATTATATGATCATCTTCTTCTTTTTCATTTGTGATAGATTTACATTCATCAGGTATAGCCATAGATTCTTCTAAAAGTGTGAGTCCATGTGATACATGGCTTGATAAAGTAGAAACTCCAGCACCAGCTGTATTAATTAAAGAACTTACACCCCAGTTAGCCCAACCCCATCCCATTGAAGAATTTTCAGCTTCTTGTCCAGCTACTGATAATCTCTTTAATATTGGTTGTAATTTTTCTTCTGTTAATTCTTCAGGTAATTCAATCTCTTTTCCAAGTCCTTCCCATCCTTCAGGTTTAAATACTTCTTTAAATTTCTTATCTAATTTCATTTCTTCTGGCATTTCTGATTCAGTTATCTCCTCTTTTATAGATGGCTTTTTAAGCAATATATTCTCTTCTGCCATTGATTCATGAATATGCGTGTCTACATTATCTGTGTCATCTACAAATTTATTACTTGATTTAATTTTGGTTCCCAATTTTCTTACACCTAACTTTTGTTTTTTTAAATCCTCTTCTTTCTCATTAGATTTAACTGTTATTCCTTCAAAATGAAGTTCCATATTTGCATCTTTTTCAAGAGGTGCTTTTATTTCATTTTTGTCCAACATTGATTCTTTATTATTATCCTTTACTTTTAGGTTTGTAGTACTTATATTTGTTTCTACACACTCCTCTTTCAAATTGGGAAATGTAACATTTTCATTACTTTTTTCACATATTCTGTCAACACCAGTAATTGGTTGTTCGAGCTTTGCATAATTATGCGTATCTTTAATACTGTTTTCGTCAGTTCTCGCATCTGGAAGTGAGCAATATTTTCCTGTCTTGCTACTAAAAATTATACTTGTATGCGGTATTCGAGGTACATATTCTGTATCATCATCGGATTCTGAATCTATTGTGGTTGGTGAATTCCATTGTTGTGTTTGAATACGGTTTTTTACTACCATAGAATAGTTCATCTCCTCGTCAGCACTTTCGAAGTCATCACTTTCGGATGTTGCCATATTAACTTTGCGCTATTCCAAAAAGTATTTCCTCTCAGTTACAAATAACATGCAAAAACTTAAAACTGCGGTACAATCGACTTGTGTTACAATGATATATTCATTCTTCGTATAATAATTACAAAATATGGATTAGAAGCATTTCCGCATTTAAAAACACTCGTCTATACGTTGACGTTGACATAGTACCTACACCATACAATACTACTGTGGCGACCTCTACTTCTGTTCAGACGTCCCGCCGAAAAATTCGTTTTCAATAAATTGTCATCCGCTGGGAAATCAAAAATTAGTGACCTCTGTTTCCGGTATGGATCGCTTTTCCAGCGTCATCAGGAAAAGCGTCCTTCCTTCTCGAGCTACCGCGCCGTGAAGACTGATTTTCTTAACCGCTTTTCACTCGTAATCACTATTAATTTCCTGGTATATATATCTTAGTTTAGCTTAGTGTATTATTAAGTTTTAACTACTAAGTGTACAAATAAAATTTATTCTATGTATAGCATCTATTTTTTGAATTAGCGATAGTGAATAAAATTTAATCATTGTAAACAGGACTTATTATTATTGCGAGCGACCTAGGGAACTGCAGAATTCCCCAACGACGACTCTACACTACTATGCAAACACAATTACACATGTTACGTGTCCTATCGAGTAGGCAACAATTTAGAGACTTCACAAAATTTATATTAATTTCGTAGATTAGAAAATCACGTGCACATGCGAGGAAAATCTTGAACCATGAAACGTTAACATAATGTTTCTTGATTTTCTTTAATATCAATATTCCCCCTGCCTTTTGTAGTAAAACAAAATGATATATAAATTACGAATAGTAGACATATAGTTTTAGAAATGTAATGTGTTTTGAAACGAAATTAAGCATTTATTTCTATATCTATAAATATGAAAAGAATTATGCCGAAAATATACATTGACATTGTTCTACAAAAGTATAAAGTTGTGAAAATTTATGAAATATGTTGAACGAAACAACAAGGTTGAACAATAATGAGTAATTTAAACAGAAAATAAATCGCTCGATCGAAATCTGTCAACATTTGAGAGGTACACGTCAACTGAAATATAAACGAAAAAAGGGAAGAGGAAACACCACGGGCGAATACCACAGAGGCTTATGAGACATTCTCGAAGGAGCGTCGGCGGATTACCATCAGTTTACTCATTCGTCCCGGATGTTCAACGATCTTGAGTGCACCTGCGTTTAGAAGTTGTACGGTGGTGCCGTCAATGCACCATAACGGAAAATATGTGAAACTATCGAAAGGGCACCACGTTCGTCTGTTCTCGTCACTGTTCGTGCACAGCGGTCAGAGACACGGGAGCTTTCAGTCTGTGGAAGGGGCAATTTGAGAGAAAGAGAGAGGAAGAAGGAGAATACAAAGTTGGGAGGGGATTACGTTCGGTTCTCATCGGTGTACGCGTTGAGGCGAAGAGGAAGAGAGAGTGAGTGAGAAGCATTGCCAAGCGCACACGGTATGAACGTCCAGTGGCATGTTTCAAACACTCAACATGCTTGTAGTTGGCGCGAGGTTGTAGTATCGTCGAAACGAAAGAGTAGTTTGCGCGTATTCTTGGTACTTAAAACAACGAACTTGATAGTGTGTATAATTCTTGCGAAGCCATGTTCAATTCAATCCATAAACGAGCAAAAGTGTCTTTCGGTAACCGTAACAGTGTCTTGCCGTGTAAGTAAAAGCGGAGTGAAATAGCGTGCGGGTGAACACGCAAAACGATTTCTGACATTTCTTCACGGAAACGTCACATTGATTCGTTCTGCCTTTTACACACGAGCAGCACAAAGTTCAGTGCAAGAAGGAAACGGGAGCACAGTGAAATGTACTCGACAGTACCGGCATTAGCGTGCACTTCTTAAAGCGGGTCGCAAACGCAGATGCTGTCCCGTCTCTGCTTTGAGAAACTCGCCGTCATTCTTCTTGCTTGAAAAGGAGAATGGCGTGATTGGCTACGAATTGGAACAATTGACCGATTTTCTTCAAGAAATAGTCAATGAAAGGTGCAGCTGAATCACGTTTGCAAGTGTTCCCAGTTTATTTGCCGGGACACAGTGCCGTTAATATTTTTAGAGTGAACCTGCTTCTTGATAGTATAAAACGTATGATTGTGCAAGAACAGTAGGAATTGAAGAATAGTGTAGAGATCGAACATCGCACGTGATAGGTAAAATCAAAGTTCCGATAAGCAGAGGTTAAGAGTGTAAATAGAAGTGGTGAACCACGAGTGAGACAGTAGAAAGCGTGAAAGTGTTTTTTTTTTCTATTTCCGAATTTGATTTTCTTTTGTGGTGTGAGGAAAGTAATTTGAAAAAGCTGTGCTGTTTGTATATATTTGCTCTCGATATTGCAAAGTGTTCAGTGCAAGATTAAGAGAAAAAGGTGTTACAATAATGTAACGGGCATTTGTACGCGCTCTCGTGCAGATGTAGGACCACAGTACCGTCTCAAGGCAAGATACCAACAGTGGACTTTTCTTCGACGACCAGCTATGTTAACGGTGGAATTCCACTCGAGAGGAATCTGAAGGCGGGGACTCTGACGTCACTCCGCTCATGATAATGAGGTATTCATGATGGCGGAGTACGCGCGCGCGCGCGCGTGCACGAGAGAGAGAAAGAGGGAGAGAACGAGAGAGAGAAAAGGAGAGAGAGAGAGCGTGCGTACAATATATACTACTGTGAATATACACATGATGCCTCCCTCTCTCTTCCTTCTCGTCTTTTGTCCCTCTCTTTTTGGTGGTATGCTATGTGCGCGCGCGCGCGTGTGTGCGTCCGTGGCATGCAATACATTCTTTCTATCTCCATTCCACTGTATATCAGTGTGTATTACTATTGCGTGCCTTCTCTTTACCAGCTTGAATGCTCCTCTTTGTCTCTTTTACGTCGACTGTCTTTCTTTCTCTTGCATCAATACAGCGTGTATGTGGCACGGGCAGTGTGTGCTCGCGCGCACAAATATGTGCCTGCCGACTGGTCGGTGATAGAGAGTTTTGGATGGATTTAGAGCGCAGTGAAATATGCCAAGGAGACGGAATGGGGAGATACCGCTTCCGGAAGGGTGGGACGTCGCACAAGACTTTGATGGAAAAGTGTATTTCATCGATCACAACACAAGAAAAACAACGTGGATCGATCCTAGAGACAGGTACGCCATTTTCTATGTATATGTTTGTATGGACGCGCACACGTGTTAAAACAGTGAGAACATATGAAATTACGTGGGATCTCTCTGTGCGTGAGCTTTATTTCTTTTCATTAAAGGTCGCATTCGAATCCTTTGTGAATTTGCTGACAGGCAGATGGACATAATAATAAACGTATGTAATAATTATGCGCCATAGGTGTACGCGCGCGCGCGAATTCACACACATTTACGTGCGTGCACAAAAGCAGGAACGCGAGATATTTCTGTCGTTACATTGCCCCCGTGTGAGCGCCCCTTAAGTTTCACAAGCGTGTGTACTACTACGTGTATGCGTATATTCATACACTGAGGACTCGCCGCGCCCGCATTCCAGTCGCCAGGGCCGCCGCGCTGTCGATGAAAAACTCGAGAAATCTGGTGACCACGGTCGACGCGAAAATAAAATTACTATTCTTTCCAACTTTTTGATAAAACAAAATTGCATTCTTTTTTGTTTTCTTAACTATTGGTAAATAGAAACGATGAATTTTTCGTTCTAACTGTACCATTGATTTTTTTTGTTTTATTTCAATGTTATTTAACGCATTTATTTATTTTTTATATTGATCATTAGAATACGCAAAAGATAACGAAGCATTTTATAATGATTTAAAAGTTTGCTTATGTATACTTACAAATTATTACGATTTTAACAACGTATGCACGTTACATATGTAAAATATTTGATATTTGCCAATTAAATAAATTGAAACATTTTTCTTTTATATAATTGACCAACAATTATATACCAATAATTAGAAACTTCAATTAAAATTGATATAATACAACGTAGACAGCACAATGATTTATACGTTGAAACATTACACCTAAGTTAATTTCTCAAATACTGACATTGTTCGTCATACGATCCAAGTACTGACTTACCTTTGAAGCACACGAAATCACAGAAACTTTTTGCTAACTCGCTAAAAGAACTAGTAAACGCTTGAAATGCTATGTTTGCGCATAATGCAGCAAGTAGCATTCGTTATCGGGTAGAAGACTAAAATCTCGTTATAAAAATATCGTGTAACGTTTACACGTATACCGTATTCCATGTGTCCATGCTGTCTAGATTAATGTGTATGCGCGTAGCCGCGGAACGTAGTATGCATGTGAACCATCTTATAGGGCTAACCGGTATGTAACGTTCATGCAGCTGACGGTACCTAAAAATAGACCTTGGTATAAGGGTATTACTCTTTTGATTATAATGCCACCATTAAAACATCGGCCTCTTTACGTGTACGTCATTCTTTGAATTTTTCTTTCATTTTATGCATAAAAATAGACAATGTTGAAAATGATACGTTAAAACGGTTTTAATTTAAAATATCAGTGGTAGGTACATGATCGCTATATTTTCTGATCGAGTTATTGTCTGACAATTCGAGCACAGATTACTTGACCTGTGTTCCTTGCTGTTTTTGTTTGCACATTTGGCACGTGAACAACAGAACCCGGAATACGGTTGTTCCGTGTGCGAATGATTTTCGTGTTCTTCGAAATCTCGAAATTTCGTTCCTTGAAATCCGTTAAAATCTGGCTGGCGCTGTCGCTGGTGTGGCGCTGCTGCTGCTGCTGCTGCTACTGCTGCTGCTGTTTCTTTTTGGAAATTCAAATCGAACTCGCATGCACTCAGTTCAGCCGGTTTTTCCAGTATGTGTTCTCCACGCGTGGAGAAGTGCAACACGTGGCATCTGCTCGACATCTGTGTTTAGGAAAATTCTTTTGCGCTCGTGCACACGCATCTCATCTTCTTTTTTTTTCTTTCTCGCATTCTTTTGGTTCTTTCGTATTCTTCTCCATGGGCGTCCTTATAATATCATGTCCTATAGATTTATACGCAGTATGTAGCTGTTTATGGACTTACGCTTGTTGATTTTTTCAATTAATTTTCCAATTTGATTTTTAGTATTTCATTGAAAGTGCGCGTTGTCACAAAAATATCCGTGAAAAGGAAACGAAGGAACGGTTATTTCTCGATTACACCATACAATGCTGTGACTTAGGAAAATATCAATATTCTGTTAACTTTCAAAGATAGCGCCACTTTATTGCCACGATTCGATATGAGTAATAGGTTGAGAAGAATGTGTTAACTTGTTGATTTAATAGCCATAGAGTGTAGTAATGATTAGTCGCTAGTTGTAACTTATTCAACAGTATGATACTATTGAATTATTTTATTTTCCTTGAATTTGTAATAATCTTAATTGAATTTTTATTTA